AGGCCCTGCGCGTCCGCGTCTGCTGTGTGCCAGGCCCTGCGCGTCCGTGTCTGCTGTGTGCCAGGCCCTGTGCACAGCGCTGGGGACACAAAGATCCATGGACACTTTCCAAGCTTCAGGGAGGGGATGCAGAGGGGAAAGCAGGTGTGAGCACCAAGAGGTGGCCTGCAGGGCGGGGGGAGTGTGTTGGGGTGCTGGGGGGTGTTGTCAGGGGGCTTTATGAAGGGGCTGGTCTCACCCTAGACCAGAAAGGGTGGGTAGGAAGTTATGAGACAGAGATTCGAATGTTCTGTGCACGATGCCCAGCACTTGGAGGATTTAGATTTAGCCAAGGAGGAATCAGGGGCCTACTGGATTTGGGGGGTAAAAAATGACAACATTAACAGAATTTAAAAACACTGACAGTCTCCTCTGAATAGGGAAAGAAATTCATCACTTAGATTGAAATTCAGGCTCTCGACTGTCCTTCCAGACAACGCTGAGATTTGCAAGACGGGCAGATGAGACCGTGCACCTGCTGCATTATAAGAAGCGAGTCAAAGGAGAAAAGAAAGTAAAACTTGCTACTGACAGCAAAGTCGCTGTGGTTCTGGGGCCCATCCTTTGCTGCCTGCCCACACTTTCTTTCTGACTCATTTCCTTACTCAGAGAAAATAGTTTGGAGAAGGACAAGAACCCCCTTCCTACCCGGTATGTCTTCAAAGAAGACAACCGTCTGATGCAGAACGTGTGGGGCTTCTGTGATGGGGGTGTGACGGGACACAATATGCCTGAGAAGTGTCCTCAGAGGCGAGGGCTCGCTGGACCCGGGACCTGCCAACTACAGAAACGGTGTCCCTTTCCACAGGTGTGCAGAATGAAACTCGAGGCCGACAGAATGCTCATAGAAGATCTGGAAAGTATTTCCTGGCAAGAAAGAATCCTAGCAAACCTTTGAGTCAGCAGAATGTTGCGACCTCCAGTTCACTGACCGCCTGTCCCGCCCCCGGCCCCGTGTTGGGGGTACACGGGTAAACCGCTGTGAACCCCTGAAGGGCGCACAGTCTGCTCGGGGATGGAAACAAAGTGGGTGGAAAAGACCGACCACCTGAGAACAGGAGAGTAATACCTACTAGGTCCTGATGTTGTGCCAGGCTCCGTGCTCAACATCTCATGTATTATTTTCCCTAAACCGTGCAATAATCCCACAGTGGGGTCTGTTACCCCCATTTCACCAGACGAGGGAAGTTCAGAGCAGTTGGGTGGTTTGTCCCGGGTCACAAAGCTAGGAAGTGACAGAGCAGGAAGCTGACCCAAGGGCCCTGACCGTGGCCACTCAACCTGGGCAGAGAGCTCTGTCTGTGCATTCACAGGATTAAAAAGGGGGCTTCAAAAACCCTGGTGCCCTGGGACCCCCCCAGATGACCAAGTCAGAACATCGGGCTTGGCCAAGGCATCAGGGTGTTCAGAAAGATCCTGGGTCCCCCACCTGCCAGGCAGCAGGAGCAGAGAGGAGGGCCGGGGCTCTGCTGGGATGAGACCCCCGGTTGCCAGGCTAACGGGCAGGGATCGGTGGGAAGTGCGGCCAGCTGCTGAGCTCCTGGACAAGGCTGGCTCACCCAGCAAGGAGCCCCGAGACAGCCCTGCTGGGAAGGTTCCGCAGAGCCTGGAGCCGGGCTGGAGCCCGTTCGGGCGGCTGGTATGGGCCGGCTTCCCAGGCCTGAGGTCTGTTGAGGGGCTGTGTGACTTCACAGCCCGATTTACCTGTGGGGATGGCTGCAGAGCTCAGTGTCCAGCCTCAGGGAAATGGTTAAGAAACATCTGGACAGATTATTGAGGGATCAAGTAAAGAAAGACTGTGGAGAGTTTATCATGAGGTGGAAAATGTTAGGTTTAATTAAATTTATGTTAAATGTCAGATTTTTTAAAAGCAGCATCGTGTGCAATGGCACGTGCAGTGAGCCCACGGCAGGAAGACAGGCGCGGTGTAGACTGTGTCCAGGGCAGAGAATTTTGTTCGGACCTCCCGCATTATTGTCTGGTCACAGCTCTGTGCCAGCCGCCTGCGATTGCCCTCCCTCTAGAAGACACGAAACCTGCTCACAGCGGCCTAGGACCGCTGAGTGCATTTGCCATCCTCTGGGAACCGTGTGAGGCAGAGCACAGGAACAGGAACACACTCACATTCTAAACTTGGGTCCGAGAAGGAGCCTACCTGGTAGGCGAACGATCCAGAAGGTAGGATTGCTGTTTCCTCTGGCCTAAGGTCACCACTTTTCACCCTGAATATTACCAAGATCACGGCATGGCCCGGGGAAGAGCAGTGGTCTGTCCGTGTGGACAAGGCAGGTGCATCCCCAGGCCACAGGTGTGGGCCTCCTCACAAACTAGACCCTGTGCCTCCTCTACACATTTTGGGGAGTCCCTTTTGGGGACCACAGCACCAGGTTTGGAGAGAACAGGACAAAGCAGTCAGGTAGGAAACCTCCAAACCATGTTGTCACCATCGTGAGATCCAGACGTGGGGCGTAACTTAAGGGCATGACATGAGACCATCGGGCTGTTGCAGGAGCACCGGGGGCTGGGCTCAGGTGGGCCCACCGGCTCTGTGGGGCCTCCCGGGGCATTAACTACAGTGACTTCTCAGAGCAGGGAAGCAGAGTGAGTTTCAAAAGCATTTAGACATTCAAACTCGAGAGAGAAGTTCTGGTGGCAATTTTGAGAAATTTAGTAGGAACGTGTTTCTTATAATGAACGAGGGAACAGGGTTGTCTTTGACATCATGTACCATCCATGCAAATCAAGCAACATGTTATAAACTGGAAACACTATGTGCCAGGCAGAGCTGAGCATGGCACTCAGTAAGGTACGCCCCCCGAAACGTGGCCTTGCAGTCCCGCATGCCACTTCCCAGGGCCAGTCATCACAAGCATGTGCAGCAGGTGGAGAGAGCAGAATCTCCAGAGAGTGAAAGCAGATGACTCACCAAGACCAGACGCAGCAAGAGTGGTGCCCCTCTCTGCCTTCCTCCTCCCATGACGGACCCATGAGAACACATTCCATGAGCGCGCAGTAGCTGCCGGCTTCCAGGTCAGCTGCTCAGTCGGCCTCGTCGTGGGTGGAAGGGAGACTCTGGCGCGTGCTAATCTGCTCCGGCCGATCGTGCAGAACAGCTGAAGGAAATCCCGAAGACCGCGTGTGTAAGAGCATTGGCCGCAGGGGTGCCGACGTGGGGGTCCCGATCCTTGCGGCACAGCCCCAGCGTGTCCTCTCCCTGCACCCCTCAGGGGTGGTCTTTCGCGCTCAGACCGCTGCCTTTCCTGTGCCCCGGGGCCCGGCGGGCTGGCCAGCCTCAAGAGTAGGAGTCTTTGACGTCCCCCGGGGCCTCGGTTTCCTTCCCTCGGCCTCTGAGGGTGTTGAAGACCTTGCGGTAGGAGTATCTGAAAGCGGGGCTGGAGAAGCAGTACACCACCGGGTTCAGCACGCTCTGCAGGTAGGTGAGGCCGTTGGTCACGTCACACACATGCACCATCGCTCCCAGGAGCCCGCAGCTGCCCGCCCTGCGGAAGGCGGCCACCAAGATCCGGGCCAGGAAGCTGGGCAGAAAGCACACTGCAAACAGGACCACGACCACCGTCACCAGTGCCCGGGCCCTCTGCAGCTTGGGCTGTTTGTCCGGGTCTCGGAGTCGCCTCTGGAGGGTCCTGATGATCCTGGCATTGCAGAACAGGATGAGGCCAAAGGGAAGGACAAACTGCAGGAAGAACAGTGCTTCCTGCCAAACGATGCTGAAGGAGACTTCTCCCGCGGGCTCCAGACCTGGGCATGTGGCCTCCGAGACGAACAGGCTCTGGTGGGTGAGGCCGAGCAGCAGTAACCACACGAAGCCGGACACCCCCCAGGCCGCCCGGGGGGACGTGAGGCTGACCTTCAGCCGAGGGTGGACCACTCGGAAGTAACGGTCTAAAGCCACGGCCGTGAGGAAGGCGACGCCCACTCCGCGGCTGAGGACCTGCAGGAAGAACAGGCTTTGGCAAGACGCATGTCCAAGGCTCCACGTCTTGTGTTTCAGGTAGAAAGCGGCATGGAAGGGCAGGCAGAAGGTCAGCAGGAGGTCGGCCACGACCAGGTTGAGCAGGTAGACGGCGTAGGGTTTCCACACCTGCAGGCGGAAGAAGAAGGTCCACAGCGCCACGGCGTTGCCCAGAAGGCCCAGGCCGCCCTCCAGCAGGAGCAGGGTGGCCACGGACATCTCCACCACGACGCTGGGCGCCGAGCAGTTGGCGGGGGCCATGTCGCCGATCCTGCCGGACTCCACTTTAAAGTAGCAGAGCGCAGAGAGCCGGGGCTTCGGGGGATGCTCCTTCCCACAAAGTGAAAGACACGGGCTTTTTCCTGCCACAGGATCTGTGAGTTCTGCATTTTCTCAGTAAGAAAAACTACTGAACCAGCATCAGAATAAAGTCAAAAGCAAACTAAAATTTGTCTGGGGAAAGAGGATCAGGGGGAAGGGAAAAAACCCTGGCAGTTTTGTTCTCTTTTGTTTTGCCCTAAAAAGGGGAAACTGTGTTTCACTTCACATCATCTGGCTTTTCGCTGGAACGACCATGTCCTGAATGTCTGGGTGGGCACAGGTGCGCGTCCATGGCTACTGGCCACGGAGCCAGAGCGGCTTCATCACAGCAGGACGTCTTGTCTTTACACAGTTAAAATAATGATGCAAACCGACGTCTTCTCTAGTTTGAGTTTGCCTCGTGGGGAAGCGCTCCTCTTCTGGAGGAAGGACACTGACTGCGCCTTTCCTGCACGGGGCTCCATTTCACACACGGGCACTCAGATCTGATCCCTGACATCACAGAGGACGCTCTGGTGGCCCAGTCATCTCCCTCACGGTTGACCATTTTCGATTGTCCTCTTATTTTGTCAAATTTTATTTTCTACCGAGGAGCCTTCCCCTCCCTCCTACACGACCTGGATTAGGATCTAGACCTGTGGGCCTCCGTTGGCCCTGAGAACAAAATAAACTTGATGGCTGTTCAAGACGCATAGATTCCACCAGAAAGTCAAGGTCATGAGATATTAAATGCATCCAGTCATCCCTTCCCATTGTGGACCATGCTTGACCTTGGTTCTGGCCCATTCTCGACCTTGACTCATCTGGGTCCTGACCCACTGTTGAGCCTCACTCACCTGGGCCCTGACCCACTGTTGACCTTCACTCACCTGGGC